TTCATACAATTAGGTACTGTAGCCTGTACTATTTACGTTTTGTCAATACCATAATTATTATAATGTCAGATTAAAAGGTTGTTATGAATTAGGAGCAGAAATAACCCATGGCCACGCAACTTGAATCCGGTAGAGATTCGAAACACAGGAACTTGCGAATACGAAATTAGATCAATTGAATCAAAAATTTCCTTGGATATTATCCATCGTTTAGTAAATATTAAACGTAAAAAACGACGTTTCGGAGATGGGACTCCGTCTTCAGGTTCCTACACAGTTGGTGCCCACTAGATAGAGCTAATCCCTATCTCCGGACCTCTTGGATATTATCCATCGTCTAGTAAATATAAAACGTAAAAAACGACGTTTCGGAGATGGGACTCTATCTCCGTCTTCCGGTCCGGAGATAGGGATTAGCTCTATCTAGTGGGCCCAACTGTGTAGGAACCTGAAGACGGAGATAGAATCCCATCTCCGAAACGTCGTTTTTTACGTTTTATATTTACTAGACGATGGATAATATCCAAGTAAATTTTTATTCAATTGACTCTTCACCATCTTCAAGGAGTTTTAGATTTGATACACGAAATTAGATCGCTAACAATTACAGATCTTAATGTGAGTTGGTTTGAGATGGGTTTAAATCGTTTCTAATAACAGTTGAACGACTTTGAACGTTTAAGGTTCTAGTATCAGATAGTTAATCAAGAAATTTTATATGAAATATTTTGCTGACGAAGGATTTTCGTGTTATTCGGGCAGGTGACGAATTTCCTCACACAATACCTAAAAGAGCTAGTGATATATTATCAGCCACTCACTACTGTTTGTTTCTTTGTTTATTACACAAGTCTCTGTGTAATACTTGCTAATTGCTGTCACAAAGTATTAGCATTCTTTACAGCGGGAGAGCAAGGTCGTATCTTTCTGTAAAGTGCGATAATTTTAACCAATCAGACCGAGAGTTTGGACGAAAGGAAAATCAACACCGAAGGGCGAAGTCTGTGAAACTAACTTCAACACTCGTACCAACATCCTGCGTTCATTTTATGAATTTCGTGTAAAGAACGCCGATTTACAACATTGGTATTGCGAAACAAGAGTTGTTGGTGAAAGTTCGTACAGAGACAATGCAATCCCAACAGCCTTATGAAGCTAATAGCTTACGCACTGGCGATGATGCAGGTTAAATAATACAACTTCAAGATGCAACTCTGGAAATTCTGAATGAACCTGGTGAAGATTTTACATTAACACTGCAAATGGTATAAATCTCAATTATGTTTTAAGATCTACAACAACAACAAAAACTACTATTAGAAGTAACAGTTACGAAATAATCATCACTAATTTTGAGAACCAAACTAACCCCATTAATACTACACTCTGTGGGTAAATCTCCCAGACGGTGAACGTCACAACGTATTACACAGTCCCACTGACATACTAAAAGGTTACTCTGCACATATCAGCGAGAGATAATTATCGAAATTAACTTTCTAATGGTAGACGCCAAAGATTCAACACCCCTAATACCACACTCCTCCATTGGACACAATTTTTCCATTCGCTTCTCATACTCAGATCCCATTTATCTAAGATTCAACTTAATCCTTTTAGCTCCTTCACGGTCTTCCAAATTGCCGTTTTCAAAGAGACTTTTACATTAAAATTCCTTACGCATTCCTTGTCTCATTTATCTACATTCTCAGCTCACCAGTGCCTCCTAGATGTGGCCATCTCAACCCGCCCAAAACACGAAACTTCTTCGCACATATTATTTCATGTTTCCAAATAATTTTATAGTCTTAGGTCCAAATATTTTAGTACCCACGTTGTTTTCTAACACTTCTAAATCTGTGTTCTCCACTGAAGCTAAGAGGCCAGAGTAATTCATCCTGGGTGATCTGTTGTCGTGTAAGATTTCAGCTGTTACAGGTTTCAAATATTTGAAAGTTTGTTTTAGACCAAACAAAGATAGCTTCTTGCCAACAGCATTTTGTACGCAAAATATTTCGAAAATAATTGTGGGCATTGTAATGTTATTCTGCCATGGTGGCGATGCAGTTCTATTCGAGATTTGACTTTCTCAACTTCCTCTAAAACAAACATCCATATTCTTATCACCACAGAAAACTCCAACACGGAAATTCTTCCGTGTTTAATATTGACTTTATATAATGTACCGTCTCCTTCAGAAAGCAAACACAATTGTACCTTTCGACCTGTTCACTGACGTGGTTTCAAACCGCATGTATCTATTATATACGTATAATCAACAGGTCTGTCATGTCTGTCTCTCCGTCCACGTGATTTACCTCGAGAACCGTTGGATGGATTTGGATGAAATTTGGTACAAAGTTTATGTCATTTTGAACGACCCTAAAATCGCACTTTAGAAATTTCCTGCAATATTCTGGCACCGATAATAGCGCCACTTGTAATTTTTTTTTTATTTAGTGTTCTGTCTGACGACATGTCCATATGAACAGGATCCTTCCATCTTTTTCTCGGACTGGGCCCTGTTCATATACGTTCTTGGCAGATGATCCAGCAGTGGTTTGCCATTGCCTTCTTCTGTGTGTGAATGGAGTAATTGTTGGGATGCCACGGAGGAAAACTCCGTGTTGCCTAGACCACGGCCTTGCCCAACACAAGTTATAAATTCGGGCACCGCCGGGAATCGAACCCGAGACCCCCAGGATTACAAGGCCAGCGTTCTAACCGCTAGACCACCGTGGCTATTTCTCAAAAAAATACTTTCCATTAATTTCGTAAGCAAATCCTGCTTCAAATAATAACTCCACATTTTTTATTCTCAACTTTAACGTTCTTAATTCTTGTATTGCAGCCCAAGGTTTTAATAGACTCCCGATCATTAATTCTAACATGTCCAGTCCATGTCAACGGATACAATTTCATTATGAGTTCGTGGAATCTTAAAATCCTCGTCGTGTCTTCTATATTCCCCATAGAACATACATGGGCATTACAAATACAAAGATGTTTCGGATAGAAGTCGTAACTATAAATCTTCGTGAGTACTTCACACGCCATTCCGAAATCGCAGGAGGGTCGGTGTAATGCACTACCAAAACGCCCGTAACTAAGAAACAAATGCTAATTCGATGCTGCCGGCTGGCACACTGATTCACTATGAATGTAGGCCGCACCCCCTAGCGGCAGAAGCTCGTACTACATCCGGTTCGCCCTCTATTGACACAGTCTTGAAACTTTCCGATCGCACCTCGTATTTGTATTGCGCTATACGTTTGCCAAATCTTATTCGCTCATTACCTTCTTTAGACAAGTAATGTCAGACCAAGGGGAAGTTCTTATATGACGCAAATGTGAAGTCGTGACGTATTAATTCTTAACCAAACAGAACGTGTGTGTGACAACATTGGTCGTGAAATGCAGGCAAAGTCTACGATAGGTTTAATTTCAAATTTCATGCTGGTTACAAAAATATGATTAAATAATACCCCCCGAATTACAATATAATTGTCTCAAGTTTAATTTTCCATATCTGTGTGTGAGGATACTTTCAGTAGCAGAACCACGAATATTTTCTGTAAATTCGGCCGGTATCCGGTGCCGATATTTTAATTTGGAACCACACGAAGCAAGAATGTTAACACGATGATATAAATATTAATTACAATTAATTATATTAGGGTACAGACATTTTGAATGTTAAATACAGTAATAAATTAGGAAATGTTTGCTATTTGGACTGCATAAATTATATTATGAAAGCAAGGATATCACATTAACATCTGTACCAACCTGACAAATAACACAGCAGGCACATGCAAGTTTTTAATAACTTCCACCCATAAACTTTACTAGTATTTACTGTTTCTGTGATAGACGTCAGTTGCACTCCAATACTCTAGCGGAGACTTTTAAACCTTTACGACCAAATGTTAATTATATATCCCACCTGTTTCAATAATCGTAACTCAGCCGTTTGTATTTATGAGTTTCGTATAATTCTCACTGTAAACCAGGATTATTTACCTAACTGCACTAATCATTTGATATTTGTAATGGTAACAAGTTTTCTTTGTATTACCGACTGAATTAATATATAATATTTGTACAAACTTCGGCCTTAGAGTTTTAATGACGAATTTATTATACCGCGTATGTGCACAGTGTTCCAAATTTCTTTTAAATGAGACTTTGTGGTTTTCTCCTCGCATGTAAACGTAGATAATGTGATCTTCGGGGTTGATACCATATAGTCTTGTAGGTGGTTGGCTCTCTCTATCTTCAGGGTATCAGAACACAGAGGTTCGTTGTTTAAATTATCTATTAATGTTTAGTGTGATGTTCCAGATGTATATTCTATAGGATATATTATGATGGTGAGATGGATGGAGCTTGTAACTCAGTTTGGATGATAAATTATCGGGAAATATGAAGACAAATGAGAAACTGGTTCAATATTATTAATTAAAATCTGAAAATAATGTAGTGGAATGGGTTTATCTTGAACAGGCTCTTGTGAACATGTTAATTAACCTTAAAGGTTGAGAATTTGTTTACCAGCTGAGCAACTGTTAGCTTCTGAAGAAGAATTCTGCCCCCACGGAGTTAATTGTCGACATGTTATTATATTTTAGTGTCCATATAAAAATCTGATTCAACTTTTAGATACATTTCACGTTCTGGCTTGCATTACGGTTCATGAACGGATTTAAACTAAACTTCGCACAACAGAATAATAAGTATTGTTTAAGAACATCTGAAATAATTGTCATCCGGTTCTTCTATCCGAGAAAACTCACTGCATCTACCTTAAAATTATAATTCAGTTAGAGACGTTCATGAAAAAGAAATCTGGAATCGTTCAGAGTCCTCGACGAAATCGACAAATGCACGACAAGACATTGTTTAAAGACGTAATAAAACAGATGGTACACGTCGTTATCACTGCCATGCAGACATTTAAATGTCGCGCCAAGAATCTTAAAAAGGTCCCATTCACTCACCTGCACGATGATCCTATCGAGGGGGGACTTGGAATTGTGCGCTCTGTCTCTGCACCACGCGGCCCCCATGGCGACTGTGGACTGCATCTGGAGAGAACGCTGGTCGCGGCTGTGCCAGGTACAGTTCTAAAATGCAAACTGCAGCAGCAACAGCTCGCGGAGCGAAGAGAAAGGAAGAATGAGGGGAAAATATACAAGAGAAGGAGAAGGAATGGATGGAAATTTTAAAAAAAAATACAATATATGACAAAGGATGAAGAAAAGAAAGAATGAAAACATAAAGAAATGATGAGTAAATAAATTGAAGAAAATAAAACATAAATAGAGAAAATGAATTTCGTAAATACGAAGTAGATAATGACAATGTTTCGTTTTACACATGACCGTAGCTGTTCTCTTATAATTCCATCGGTGATTACATAGATGGCAGCACAATCACATGTGCTTGGACAACTCTCGATAGCGCACTTTTCGTTTTTTTTTTATTATTCTAATTTTTTTTTCTGAATCAGATTTATGCTGATGACATGCTATTTTATGGATACCTACAAGTTTATTTGGTACATTCTTTTGTTAATATTTGGCAAGATACGACCACAGATGCATGCAGGCCCTTACATGAGCCTCATCGTGAATTCCAGAAGATGAGACGAAAAAACATAACACTCTTATAGAACATAAAATCTGTTCACACTTGAAAGGACACTAATGTGAAACTCATATAGACTTAATATAAAATGTTGTTTGCGCCTTTAATAGTTTCTTAACCCCACTTAACAGAATCCTTCTTAAAAGCTGCTGAAGGAATTTCTTACTTTTATGAAACCCTGAGGTCCAGTTTCAAACCTCAATGTCAGTATGAGAATAAATAATCAGATTATTAAAATTTGAATTATCGCAGTGCAGCCAACATGGCAAAGAAATATTCTTCCGTTTGGCGGCTGTTTAGCCAGATAACGCTAAAGTTTGTTTAGCTTTTTTTTTCCTCTTGGTATCGGCACAGTGCTCAGTAATTGTGTTACCTCACTTCACGACTTTGTTTTGCTTGCAATGCGGGGTTCAGCAAGTCATCCTGACTTTGAAAACCTTCACGTAATGGCGCATCTCGCATTAGTTTCCAGTGAAGTAGTTCCGTCCCGCGATACGAGATGACTCTGACAGAACTACGTAATAATGGTCCGAACAGAGTAACAGTATAACTGAAGTTACACTTGTTACTAACCCAAATATTTCGACTTTTAGCAAGTCATTCCCATTAGTATTATACGATTTACAAGCCAATGTAATTCTTGGAAAGATGTCGTTTATATACGTCATCAGTTACACACACACAGAATGATTTTTTAATAACGTTTCAATAATGGGTTTTCATAAAATGCATGTAATAACATAATTTCTCTTCAATACTTCAATACTTATAATTATTTTTGGTGACATTTCTGTGTGTGATCTGAGTAACAAAGTAACTTAATAAAACACAATAAATATTACATGCGCGTGTTTTTGTATGTGGAGGCAGTAGACACCTCAGAAACGTCGGTAAAAAAAAATTTAACAGACTACATTGCGCAACAATAGACATCCATCTTCGTACTTCATAACCTCAATTCTCTCTCATGGTAACATTCATTACAGCGGCCCCATGACATTGGTGATAGGTGTTGCAGGACTCCTGAGCCAACTGTACTTCACGCAACCTTGAAGCCCACACAGCAGTTCACTTCCTACAGAATAATCTCAGATCGCCAGAACACTGTGACGTGTCTAGGAATGCAGGTACGCGTTAACACCATGATGGCGTAGCAAGGGAGCGGATATACGTACATCTCCACACACTCTTTAACCTTAAGTAGTCAGAGGCGCGGAGTGATATTATTTCGCCGGTCAGATAGCACCGGGTAGACCGAATGTTACCAAGATTTGTCGTGAACATTGTAACCATAGTGACGTAGTGAAATAATGACGACAACCCCTGCTTCGAACTGATCTCCTTCCCTTCAGTTTATAAGATTGTTCTAGAAAATATCGTCGAAGAAATTATTTACGACTCTGTGTGACGAGGTTATGTCCGACAGACTTTCGCCAAAAACTCTGCTAGAGAAGAAGACAATAGTTGGTAAGGTTACCTTAAAGAGGAGATTTAGAGTAAATTAGTTTCCCTGTTACAGTGTTTTGTCATCATTAAAATATAATTTGGAAGGCAATAATCAGTTGGCTAGTTTAGAAATCTCCCGTCTTTTAAGGCACCTGAAAGCTCGCTGTCATATTCGTAAGTGTTTGTTACTGCAAGCAACTCAGAGCCAGATTAATCCAGTCCACGCCCTTACGTCTACTTAACATTCAACCTTGCTGATACAATCTGCATTGAACAGAGGCAGAGGATTTCTACGTCGATCCTCGGGTAATGACCGCATCCGTGTGAAACAACCGAGTGCACAGACGAATCTTTTTTGTCACGTGATTCGTTGTGTAACATTTCCCACCAGATACTTTGGTTACTTACCGGTTCTCCCACCGTAATAGGCTTCAGCATGACCCAGTCGTGATCAAAACTTGATAGTCTTCACAAATATCAAAGAGCGTTGCACGTTTCGTAATTCTTCAAAACCCAGTGGTAACTATATGTACCACCTCCTTCAACAATTAATAACTGTGCGCTTTGTAATTATGGATTTTGTAGGATTTTCACTGTAAACAAAGAGTATTTTTTAAGAAACATTAACAAGTTGTTCTTTGTAGGTTGAGGTTTTCATGGCGGAGAGTTGCTGTTCTCTTTGAGGTACGGACTGAATGTTTATTATTTAGATATCCTTCCGCCTTAAAGGGCTTTTGACCACATCAGAGCACTAACTGAGAGGTTTGACTCGAGGTTAGCTGGTGTGGGGAACCCCTTAGTTCGGCAACTCGGAAGACACTCGTGCCGAATGAGGGCTGCCAGAGTTCACCCAAGGGCAACCGAGGGCGACTGATGTTCAGCCGGCCAGCCGAAGCCATCCCCAAAAGACGGCCAAGTCAGCACAACGAGTGGTTAGACTACTCGGCTACCCTGACTGAGGTTTTTCGTGCTTTCCTCAGTTGTAAGGCGAATGCCAGGGTATAACTTAATAGGGGCACGGCCCGCCACCCTTCCCCCCGATCATGGAGGCCATCAGCTGAAGTGATCTTCCCCCCATGCCGCAGAGGCCTTCAGCCGAAACGGCCCCTCCCTCTCTGGGTTCATACCCCAGAGACCCAACCAACCAAATTCCTTCGACAACTTGCCTGACAGGATAACCTCCCATCAGCAGCAACAAATCCCAGTTTGAATGGTCGAGGCTCCCGCCACGACGAAACCCCGTTAGCGTTAGCAAAATTTCCGTTCTTATATTACGACCGTTTACCATTTCCAGCAATGCGTCTTGTGCGCAGGAATGGTTTCACCTAGGTAGGGACGATGCTTGCGCTTGCGCAGGCCTCTGCCCTCAGTTAGCTTCTTTGGTTTGGTTGGTTGGCCTTAAAGGGTTAAAATATATCTTACTTTAACGTGGTGCGTCCTGATTTTACTAACAAGGGTAAGAAGACTGAATCTTTGTAATGTATACATACTCCCCTTTCTACATTAATTTAGGTTTATCTTATAGTATCCGTGTCCCTCCCCACTAAAGCAAGTCGATGAACTTTTGTAATACTTCATATGAACGTCTTGTGACCCATCCATCTTTGCATTTTTAAATTTCATATAATCAATAATACCAACATAACAGCCGTGGGAACAAAACAAATGACACTCAATACAGACATACCTCGGAGATATTGCGGGTTCGGTTCCATACCACCGCAATAAAGCGAGTCACGCCAATTTTTTGGTTTCCCAGTGCATATTAAAGTTATGTTTAGACTATACTGTAGTCTATTAAGTGTGCAATAGCATTATGTCTAAAAAAAAAAACCATGCGAGAATTACCAAAATGTGACACAGAGACACGAAGTGAGTACGTGGTGTTGGAAAAATGGCGCCGATAGACTTGTTCGACGCAGGGTTGCCAACAAACCTTCAATTTGTAAAAAAAAACGCAATACATGTAGGTCTAACACCATGAACCCTGTTGCTTTCCGTGGGATATCGAAACCACAAAAACCATCAAAACTAGCAGCGTTAAATATGGGGTGAGGTTAAAACATAATTTAGAAAACCTAAAGAATACTTTTAATTACTTTGAGTGAGAATGTGAGATTATTAAAAGCCCATTGGGAACTGTTTTTATCAACTGCTTTAATATTCCGCATTTTGTCTACAGAATGTATTTAGTTTTCGTATGATTATCAAAGAACGTTTTGTAAACCTTTCCCGATTAAACGTTAGTACAAAATCGATTTTCAATGCAATAACTTGCGTATAATTTTTTACAGACCTGATGATTATTAATTCTTAGTCGAAACATATAATTTAACATTAACAGACATTTCACAGCGGGCAGTGGTGTAAAGTGTGTGAAAATACGCTCTTTTTCAAACAACGATACTTCAACACGGAAGTTTGATTTGTAAGGTGTACCAAGGTTCAGTACAATGAAACAGTAAAGATTAAAATGTTTTGACTCAGGCAGGATGTAAGACGGAGGTTACACTGAACAGATATGATCCAGTATTAAATTTGCTCAACAACTTTAAGGTCTTTTCCATATTCCAAGGCAGTTTTATGCTCACGTTGGACAGATTTACGACCTTCAGTTAAAGTGCATAGAACTTGAAAAAATTAACGATACCAGAGACCTCAAATGTTACACTGTTCTTTAAATTAGTGACCGCCATTTTGTGTCCATGATAGAACCACGAGACTCATTACTAGAATCCCGAGGAAAGAATTTTGCTCCTTCGTAATCCTGAAACATTTTTAAAAAAAAAATTACATATGTTTTGGTCCCGTGTCCCTTAAACCGCTGTTGCTTAAACTGTGGAACATTCCAGACTCGTGTTCCGGTGAACAGAGCACAAGGTCGAGTTTTCTCTTGGCTTCCGGCTTCACTGTTTCACTGTGTTGAAGGCCGATGGCCACACACAGCTCCCGTTGTCTCGAACACATTAAGATTAAAATGGAAATGAGTGGATTCAGTTGGTAGATTAGTGTGTAAGTTGTGTGGGTCAGTTGGTACAGGGACTAATTTAATGG